ATATTATTATTTAAATTAACTATATACATATAACTATATATATACTATATACTATCTATCTATCTATCTATATATATTATATATATATATATACATATATATGCATATATATTTGTCATATTTATTATTAACTATTATTATATATCTATATATATATATATATATACCTAACCGAATGTGAAATTATCATACAACATTATCATGTATATGCTCACGTTTCTCCCCATCCCCATAGAATCTTCTGGCTCGCTGTGGCTACCACCAAACCATCGAGATACCGAACTGTGTTGTGTTGCGCACCCAGTGGGGCCATTCGGAGTCGTCTCTTATGCAGAAGGCAGGTGCAGGCACCACCGAGTATGCTGTATGGCTGCTACCCGACATGGGCAAGGCCTCGCCATTTATGAAGGAGGTTTATAGGTACATTGTGCTGCATGTGCCAGTGTACGGCTTGTGTGCGTACATGTCTTTGCGGTTGTGTTCATTTGTGCCCGCATGCCTGGGTTCGTGTGATGGCCAGCGTGTGGGTATAGTCATAGTGTCTGTAGATACTAACCTGCGTATGGACATATAGGTGCAGGAAGTCAAACATCGGTGCCGCTGGTAAGTTTCGAAGCGTTCTGACTCATCCCAAAGTAATATATATCGTCAACGTAGCACACATGTTTCCGCCTTTAACCTTTGTAGCACTTACATGCTGTACCAATCGTCTGGCTTGTGTATGCCTCGTACATCCCGACAAGTGGTAAGTGTTCAGATACAAACTGCTACCGTGTACAATCACGAACAACTAATCGCGCACTCTCATCTTAACTGCAGATTCTTCAAAGCCTGTTTGGCGCATCCCAAATTAAGTAAAGCGTCAGGCGTGGAGCAATCGGGGTCCCGCTTTCACATCACATTGGCCGATTTCTTTGCCGCCGATTTCGGACAGGTGGCGAAGATTGTCAGTGCAGTTCAAAAGGGCGCACAAACCACGGCTGAACGATATATGTATGTTCGCATGAGCGGTATATGTATACCCGTATGAACCACGGCTGAACGATTCATGTATGTACGCATGAGCGGTATATGTATGCCCGTATGAACCACGGCTGAACGATATATGTATGTTCGCATGAGCGGTGTATGTATACCCGTATGAACCACGGCTGAACGATATATGTATCTTCGCATGAGCGGTATATGTATGCCCCGTATGTGGCCAATGAGGAGTGAATGGTGTCTGTATCTGCATGCTTGCACGGAAAGTATTTACACGGCAGGATGTCTGTACGCTCATGTCTTGGGGATGAAAAGTGAATGGTCTCTGCATGTTAATGTAGAGAGTATCCACACGTGAACGATGTCTGTCTGCTCATGTCTCGTGGATGAGTTTATATGGAAAATATTAACTCGTGTACAATGTCTGAGTGCTCATAATATATGACTAGTGAATCCTATCTGCATGTTCGCCAGAAGAGCCTCATTGCACATGGTGTCCTTCGCACCATCCTCGTGCACGTGTACACAAATCTATGCAACGCTCACAACTACCCTCAAACCGGCTCTATTCAAACACAATTTGGTTGATATCATGCTGGTAGCAATGCGGGCGATGAGGGTCAAGCGTGTCCTGGAAGTAGTACGCCCAGAGCGTCTCACACTGTCTGTATCTTTCCAGTCTCTCTAGTACACATACACACACACACCTATACAACGCTCGCAAATACACTCACACTCACGACAGCATTTAATATCCTTGGCGAGATAGTCAAGCAAACCTTGTTGTGCACGTCTTGTCGATCACATGTTATTCCTAGCAACGAGAATGGAGAAGGTCGGGGCGGTGTGTTTTCTGTACTGCGCCGAAAGGATCGTACCATATTCGCATATATCTCTGAAGCCTCCCTCCTGCACATGCACACATACTATATGACGCTCATACGCACGTTCACATTCACATTCACCTCATTGTTTCTTTATCCTTGGCGTACTAAACAATCAAATTCGTGTTGACCATACCATGAGCACAGAAATGAGGATGATGAGGGCCGGGGCGGTGTGTTAGAGGTAGTGCGCCGGGAGGGTCTCACACTGTTTGTGTTCCTCAAGTGCTTCTTCCCGTGGCTGGAGCCTTTGCGTAAGAGCCTGCTCGCCCTGGACTGTTACACAGGTGTGTGTGTGTGCTTATTCAGAGGTGGGCTGACGACATAAGGACCTCTGTGGGGTGATGGGTCGTTGTACATGAGCTGTATTGAATTGCCTGTTCTATTAGATTCTGGTGTTATTACTAATAAATTTTTTTGCTGTATTCATTTTTGTGTGTTGTGGTAATGCATTTGGTTGTGGATGGTTGAGGGGTATTGTGGTATAGTGTATGAGTCTGTAGTGTGCTGTGTTTCTGACTGTGTGTGGCTCTCACATGTCGCTTCATACGCGTATTCTTGCTACAAATAAAGCAATACAAGATACACTACTTCGCAGTCAGATCTTGCGTAGTACACGATGGTTCCACATATAGCATACACTACCACACATGACTTTGGGATTCTTTAGAATGACGATCCTGTTTTTGCCGATAATTTATTGCAATGCGGTATATGCATAGCATATTCATTCATATGTGATACATTAAGCACGTATTCAGTGAACATTGATATCTTTCAGCAATCCGTGCCCAAATAGTGCTGCCTTTTTGTATGACTTAATGTATTCGTTTCGTTCCTAATTTCTCGTTTCTGCTCCTCTTCATCTCATCTCAAATACGAATCGCGTGCAGATTCGAATTTGATGCGGGGTGAGGATGACGAGTACAACGCAACACTGCTGCTAGACAATCAGCCGACGACAGAATCTCTTACCATTGACGATTTCCGAGATGTTATAAATCCCAATAGATATCCCCTCCTGGAAGCATGCATCAATGTAGGTGGCGTGGGCTCGTTTAGAGATGGGTCTGTCTGTGTAATCGAGCGCTGGTTTATGTGTCACGATTTGCCTGCACCTACATGTCTGGTGCCAGTTACGGCTTAGCTGTTACTTTACATAGTGGCATATACGTCAAGAGTGATCCTGGCTGTGTTGTCTTTTTCAGAAGATATTCGCTCTCATGATCGTGTTTTGGCGTCCACATGCGTTGTGCGGACTTGTGCGTTGGAATAGATCTGAATGTTAGTTTACCTACACGCTGCGGCCCTTTTCAAACAATCAGATAGACACCTGTTGTGGTAGTATAGTCTCCGTTGACTACTGTGGTGTCGATGTGTTCTTATACGCAAGTGTGTGGCGGTGTACAAAGACATAATTAGCTGTACATAGACACAGTTGTTCAGATCGAAAGGATATCATATTTGTATTTGAAAGAATACCAGATGTTGTGGTAGTATAGTCTCCATTGACTACTGTGGTGTCGATGTATTCTCATACGCAAGTGTGTGACGGTGTACAAAGACATAATTGGCTGCACATAAACACAGTTGTTCATATCGATAGGATATCATACCTGTTTTTGAAAGAATACCAGTTTATTATCTTTCGTCATCCTGTGGGCTGGTTTGTAGGTGTACGGGACCTGTATATTATATATATATATATGTGTGTGTGTTTGTATATTTGTATATTTGTATATCTGTATATGTATATATGTATATATATTTATATATATATATATATATAGAAGCCCGTGTTTGGCTTCTTTGGATTCTAACGATGAAGCCCCGTAAAAATAACAATTAGTCTCCACTAATAAGTCGTGGAACGAATAGAATGTGTTTCTACTATCTATACCATATCTTTACACTATATTCATTTATTACGGCCTGCAGCTGCGGAATGTAAACGTGCGCGTTTCGCACCGATGTCCAACAATAGCTTGTCGCATATTTTGTATACCGTTGTCTTTCTCGTATGAATCTCTGGTCGGAAATTGGAGGCTCGATTGTATTGCAAACCCGCGTCATAGCATTGATCTCATCTCGCAGGCATCATTTCTAAAGCAAATATTCTGGAAATATCCCCCATATTTACAGAACGATCCGGACGAATACTTACGAGACGAATGGATGTATGGGTTCAACGCTACTCGGTGGCAAGTGGCTGTTATGAAGCGGAAAAACGACAAAGTAGAAATAGACCCTGGAGCATGGTTCCCACTTTATGATTAAATGGTGCTTATGTTCCTGTTCAAACAATACATAGACGTATATTAATTCCATGTTGAAGCAGGTTGTGCATTGTGCGCAATCCGTACTATATTTTTATGTATAATAAACGTACAGGGGTGATTTCTACGTACAGGAGGTTGCTGCGGACTATCGAGTACCGCAGTACCGTGTATATTTGCTCTGAAAAAATGTTGCTCTGGATAATTGCTTGTCTTCACTGGCGTGTATTCAAATACTGTACTAGCTTCGGGCGACTGTTGGTGATAGTTCTTTTTATCCATAATTACCTCTTGAACATAGACAAAATCCTACAGTTTTGAGTTATGCGTAGTATCGTGATGGCTGCTCCGTTCACCTAGCGATTCACTGTCGCTTGGTGTGCAGGTTCTTTTTACTGTTGGGGCTATGGTAGTTGTTTCCATGTAGCTGTACGTATTTCCTCGGCAGTATTGGATACAGCTTTTATTAGTGTACGCGCCTAGTATCTGTCGTGACAGCACTTCCTGTGGCTCGGGGGAGAGCATCGAAATTCTTATCTTCCAGCACACATCCAACTTCTACAAAGTGATGCATCCACTCTTGGAGATAGACGAACAGCATAGTCTCAGCTTCTTAGTGGTTCCTTGCCAATCCAATTTGGCTCAGCACACAAACATGCAACCCACCTCGGCAGGGAAGTATTCAGCAGGATACGCATTTTCAGCGACAGTTGCAGTCTCTGATTCTCCACACGATCACGTAAAATAAATTTAAATATTCGCGTTCGAGATCTGGATGCAAACCTGACGCTTAGTTTATACATGAATAAACATTAATTTGCAACAAAAACAATAGCAAGAAATGTGCGCTCTATTTACGTAGCACACTATAGCACTGCACTGTCTGCATCAATCACCAATTCAGTACACACAGTTGTAAAATTGTGTGCAAATTCAAAGACTTGTTGGAACACTGCAACACTCGCCTGAACTGAATATGGAAACTAAAATAGACATTAATAATAATAAAACACACACGTCTGGACTCTGGACTGAAGTCTGAACAATATGGAAGAAAAATAATACACTGACTAGAGAAGGTCTGAAGTCTGAGCAATATGGGGAAAAAAATAGTACACTGACTACACTCGTCTGGACGCTGGACTGTCTATGTCTAGCTTTCTGGAGAGAGTAGAGTAGACTGCAGAGAGTGTATCAGAGTCTCTGAAAAAGTAAAAGAACCATAATCTATACTCTATAGGCCTCTAAATAGACCACATAGCCTTCTGTGTATAATTTACTGCGGTATGATTTATGAACGCTTATTTGGTTTAGAGGCATTTGGTGGTCCAAAATCCAGGGGGAGGGAGTATCCTACAACATTGTCCTAATATCCAAGTGTGGGCATATCGGAACTTATATACTTATATGTAGAATGGTTACGTTTCCTTTTCTTGCGACCTGCACAGCCTTTACGCGCTGAAAATTTACCCACTACAAAAAATTCTACCAAAGCACCGAAAGTGTCAATACAATTTCTGAAAACAGTATGTTATTAAGACAATTTACCCGGAAAACGCACACAGATTTGTAAGCCACTAATTTGCCGAAAGTGTAAACCCCAAGAGGGCCTTAGAGTTGTCGTAGACCCTTAGACTCTTAGAGTGCTTCAGAGATGAGTGAGTTGACTTAAGTTCGTTGCCTTTTTTGTTAGCAATGTTGAGGCATTGAAGTTTGAGGCTTTGAGCGCGTCATAAAAGTACTCAACAATCTACGGACAGTACATACATACTCATAACTCAGTAGGGCTACATACCAGAAGTCCCAACTCCCAAAGTCCGGAGTCGTTGAAATATACGAATCAAACACTCGAATATAAAGAAATGATGAAAATCTATATTGAACATCAAATTCCATCTCCACGTGCTGAAAAGCAAAAACAAATTCGAGTCCTATGTATCATATGTACGTCCTGACCCTATACAGTTGCACTGTTGCACTGTGTACACCTTCTTGCCGTATTCGGTATAGAGTATAACCTATAGACATTCAAGAGCGAGCAAAAAGCCAAAAACACCCCATAAAATGACCGAGGGTCCTACTAGAGGAGTCGGTAGGAGTTAGGACAGAATCACATATATATTCAAATATGTCGTACATACGTATATGCATGACGTATGTACAATTGTACATAGCAGAGCAGAAAAAAATACGTTTTCCTTTATAAAATGAGCATACTTTTAAATATTTTATTTACTTACACATAAAAAAAAACTAAATTTACGTATTTATGTATTCATTTTTTTAGATGTACATAGTACAAATGTCTGGTACAGTCAAACCTTCTATTTTTGTCCATCTCATTTATTGTTCACCTCTGTTTATGTTCATTTTTTACGGTATGTAGTATGTACCAGAATGGCACTGCTGTATGAATTCACTTGTGCTACGTGTGCTCCGCTATACTCTCACAGGGGAAGTGGATTAGCAAGTATTTTTATGATAACCTATAAATGAACTACAGTAAATAGCGATAATACTCGCCCGTTGGGTGTGAGCGTTAAATTGTTGTTCTGGGTGCGGGATACATGGTAGTCAGGGATATTGCCTACCAAGTGGTAATATATGCACACCGCCAACCACTGAGCCAAAGAATAGGCCACCGGTTGAACCACAAATTACAATAAAGTCGATGTTGGAAAATTTGATATGCACGTGTGTACGTTACTGTACAAGTGTATGTATATACCTCTCTAGTGAAAGCTAGCTAGAGGGCCCCCAAGCCCCCAACCCCAATTGTCCATCTCTGTTTCTGACCATATTGTGGCCTGAAACGGATCCTGGACACAAAAAAAAGTTCGACTGTACATATTTACATAAATATGTACATATTTACATATGCGACAATAAATGAACATACACAATGTTTTTATTAAAAAAACACAACAAATGTGTTCCTTTGTATTTTAAATTTTTAGGAGAGGCTACAGGACAAATGGAGTAGATCAGAATATTTATGGCATGTGAATAGTGAATACATATAATATATACTAAGTTTTCATTCGTTAATTAAATCAATAAAAATGTTGAATTAAGGCCCTCTGGAATATGATGAGTAAATGACTAAATGCACATATTTAGTTCATATTCTGCTCAATGCTGCTGGTTAAGTACATATATACTACAATGAATATGTTGTTGAATAAACAGCTTGTTATGGAGAAGCGGCAAGTGGCAGGATCCGGCCTTAAAGTTAGTAACAAACGGAGCACCTGCCACAAATAACATGATATAAGTGATTACGGCAAAAACTCACGATATAAATACCAGCTACATGGTCCAGTTATAGTCAAATCAATCCAAAAGTAGGCTCATCTCTGTAAATTTAAATTCTGAATACTATATGTGTATCTCCAACCATAAGCTTTCCAGAACTAGAGAAAGGCCAACAGAAACAACGATACAGATGTGACGGTCATAGATGCGACAGGACTGAGGAAAGAAAAAATTCATTTTAACAATTAACATGTACTCTTCAATAATCCAAACTTTGGCGGTAGCAATTGGATTTGCTGCATGCTCGGTCGATGCAGTTGCACTACGACGCAGCACGAAGAAGCTCACGCAGGGCACTACTTGGACTCTAGAAGCTTGGGGGTATGATGATACGAGTAAAGGAGATATGATTGACATCGATCTACAGACAAGTTCAAAGGACTATGTAGAGAAGCTGTCAGATGGTGGGCAATACGTCGTGTGCTATATAAGTGCAGGCACTGCCGAGGACTGGAGAGGAGACTTTCTCGACATGATGAATTTTGCTGCAAGGGACAGTCGGTACCCAGGAGAGTACTGGATGAACATCACCAGATGGCAGGAGTTTAAACATTTAATTAAAGCCCGAATAGAAGAAGCTGCAGATAAGGGCTGCCACGGAATTGAACCAGACAATACTGACGCATATGAATATGGTTCCATGGCGATAACAGGCGAGTCAAGGGAGAGTTTAAGACAGTATCAAATTGACTATATACGTTGGATGGCAAAAACTGCTCACGCGTTGGGTCTACAGATCGGATTGAAGAACACTGTAGATTTGATCCCGGACCTAATAGACAATATGGACTTCGCAATCAACGAATCCTGTGCAAAGTACTCCGAAAATGACTACTGCAGTAATTATGACGCATTTGTGAAGCAAGACAAGGCCGTTTTTGGGGTCGAGTACAGCACTAAAGGCAGTTGTACGGATGCAATGTCAGAAGGAATTATGCGCAAGTACAAGAACATGAACAGCAACAAATGGGTGGATTGTTAAATAGTACCCCATATATTAAACAGGTTAATGAAAAATTTCCCCAATAAAATCAAAACGATTTATTTAACTGCAACCAAAAGCACCGAACTTGCGTTTAGAGACACGTAGCTCCTGCGCACAAACCAAGACTTTTAAATAGTACGATACGTATATAAGGTGCCTGCAGAGCTAGTTTGTATCCATCATCAATGTAGCTACTCAAATAAGAGGAATACAATATAAATTCTCAAACACTGACAAATTGAAATTATCTCTGTTCAATTTGTTTATCGAATACAGCACGTCCATGTCTAATAAACCAATATAATCTTCGAAATTTTCAATACATATGTATACTTACGGACTAGGCTAATTCTCTGTTTAATCAGGTATGAAAATATATTACGGGATAGAAATATATACACAAATTACATATAT